CTGTGCCTGGCTCAATCCAGAAACATATATTCACAACAGGGTCTCACTGTGTTGACTTGGCTGACCTGTAGCTCATTATGTAGGCCAAGCTGGTCTTGAATTCAGAGTTTCCTATCTCTGCCTCCAAAGTGCTGGGATTAATACCTGGAAACATTATTCTGTATCTAATAAGATTTCTTTTAAAAATGTTTTTGTTATTTTTATTTTATGCATATGGATGTTTTGCCTACATGTATGTGTGTGCACCACATGTGTGTCTGGTGCCTAGGAAGGCCACGAAAAGACGTTGGATGTCCTAGAACTGAAGTCACGGATGATTGTGAGCTGACACGAGGGAGCTGGGAATTGAACCCAGGTCCTCTGGAAGAGCAGCCAGTTTTCTTAACCATGGAGCCACCTCTCTAGCCCCCAAATAAAATTTAACCCCCCAAACAAAGTAAAGGTATAGGCAAATAAATGGAAGTTATGAGAGACTGTTTCCATACTTAGAGTAGTCGTACTACTGTATTAGCTGAGGTTCTTTAAGCTGTAGGCACATCGCTATTAGACAAGAATCAGGCATTCATGAAAAAAGAACTAAAAAGCACCAGAAACACTAACTATGTGGGTAAAGTCAAAGTAAATTTTCCTCTCAATTACTGTAAAATAAAATGTGACTATCTACAGCAAAAATTAAAGGCATTTGTCTTGTGAAGTTTGTGATATATTTAGATATGACACAAGACAACCAGAGTGTAAAGGTTGCAGAGTGGAAAAAGGTTAAAATGGCTGCCAGCCGCTGTGAGCTGGTCTAATGTAGGAAGAAAGCCAACTGTGGAAACCTGAAGATGTGTGTTACAGCCTTTAGAACAGGCAGAAACAGACAGGCAAATAACAGTGTTTGGGGAATTTAGGAGTCTTCTTTGAGCAGTTTAGACAGACAGACAGACAGACAGACAGACAGCTAGGAGCACAGCCTCAGAAGGTGTAAATGGTACTGTCAGTTGGTCTCATTGACATTCATCAACCAGTACACCCAGCCACGGCAGAATGTGTGCTTTTGCAACTACGCATAGCATGTTCTTCCCAAGAAAACAAACAGGTCTTCATAATTGTAAAAGTATAGAAATTGGGGTTGGTTAATCCCAGCACTTCGTAGGCAGAGGCAGGCAGATTTCTGTGAGTTCAAGGCCAGCCTGGTCTACATGACGCACTCTAGGCCAGCTAGTGTTATATATCGAGACCCTACTTCAAAAACAAAAACAAGCTGGGTGGTAGCGGTCCATACTTTTAATCCTAGGGAGGTAGAGGCAAGTAGATCTCTGTGAGTTCAAGGCCAATCTGGTCTACAGAGAGTTTCAAGACAGCCAGGGCTACACAGAGAAACCCTGTTTGGAAAAACAAACAAAACAAAACAAAACAAAACAAAGCAGCAAAAATAACAACAAAAACAAAAACAAAACCTATCCCGAAATAAAGAAATGGACTGAAATAATAGGCTTTAAAAAAAAACTGTAGTAGAGTAGAATTAAGAATCTTTTTACTTTTTGTTTTGTATTTCTCATTTTGCAAAAAAGGACTGGAACCCTGGGCCATGCACATGGTTTGCCATGGGGATACATCTCTTGCCCAGAAATCAATAAATGTGAAAGAACAGAGAGCTTACAGATTCTGCTAAATGTCTACAATTAAACACGTTTAAATAAAGTAACTAGTGGACTGAAGAAATCCCAAGGAGATTGTAACTAAATTACAGTGAGGGTAAAGAGTCAAATTCGTAAGCTGCATCAAGCATAGTCCTCAGGGGACAATGTACAGCCTATGTGTTCACAATTACAAAGTAGGAGGTAAAGCAGTTTACCATAGCTTTGCCTTAATAGGCTAAAAAAGGAAGGGCAAAGCAAACTAAAAGTAAGCAATAGGGGGAAGGGATGAAGGGCAGAGAAAATTAACCGAATCAAAAGTTGGTAATTTGAGGAGATGAGTCTCCCTAACAAGGAAAAGTTACTGTAGATTATCCAAATGGTAACTGAGAAAAGAATACCCAACTGTAGCTCCTACGGGAAAAGAAAGAGATGACAGAGGTGGGGAGACCACAGAAATCTCGTGCCAAGAAATTAGACCATTAGAAAAAAATAGGCAAAATCTTCAAAAATAAAACTCACCAAAACAAATGAGATAAAAAGTCTGAATTGGCCCGTATCTGTTTAAATACAAAGCTGGGACTTAACATTCAATCTAAGCAGGGTTACTATACATGCTGCCGTAAACATTACACAGGAAACACAGTTTGACATGACATTGTAAAAAGAGAAAATAAGAAGAAATGCTACAAAAACGACAAAAAAAAAGTCTAACGAAGAAATTTTATAAAGTATAGGCCTAAACCATCCAGATGTAGACTCACACATCCTGACAAGCTGGTCCTCAGTACACACCATAGCGGTTAAAGTCGTAACCAGGCAAGGACATGTCCCAGGAGTGTGAGGAACATAATCTCAGGAATTTATCTCACCACGCAGTCAATGAAACTCATGGGTGGGGGCGCAGAGCAAGGGGCAGGACGCATATTTCGCTGATGGCACGACCGCTTTTGAACAAGTTCTGGCAGTTTCTATTAAAACTAAACATATACCTACTCCATGACCCAGTAATTCGACACCTCGGTATTTATTTACTCAAGAGATCCGAAAACCAATGGCTCCTGGAAGGCTTTTACACGGATCACCATACCACAGTCTGCTCATGAGAAAAGCAAACACCTCCCAGCTGATGGACAGCCTCTGAAATACCTTCCCATCTTTCAAAACTGTCAAGGTCACCCAAACAAGGAAAGTCTGAGACACTAACTAACCAAGAGGAACCTAAGGTGGCACGGGTAACTAAACATGTCAGCCAGCATCGGACGGAGAGGAAGGAAATCTGGATTCTTACTGTAATGAATAGATATCTCTCGTGAGTTCTAACAGATGTCCCACACTAAGAATAAGATGTTGATCAAGAGTGAGGGGCCCCAGGATGGGGAGTGTGGGAGCCTTTTCCATTTGATTTCATAATTTTCCAATGAATTTAAAACTATCTTAAACCTAAGCTCATTGCTAAGAATCGTTAAAGATCTATTCATTTCACACGTATGAGTGTTTTGCCTGTATGTATGTGTTTACATCACACATGTGCCTCCTGCCCTCAGAGTTTTGAAGAGGGAGCATCATATTCTCTGGAACTGGTGTTACAGACAGTTGTTAACTGCCATGTGGGTGCCGGGATCTGAACCCAGGTCCTCTGAAAGAGCAGCAAATACTCTCAACTGCTGAGCAAGCTCTCCAGCCTCAAGTCTACTTTTTACCAAACAAACAAACAAACAAACAAACAAAAAAACCAAAAAAACCCATGTAGTTTTATTTAAAATAAGGAAATCTAGAAACAGCTGGGTATGGTGGTACGCACCTTTAATCCCAGGAGGCAGAAGTAAATGGGTTTCTATGAGTTCAAGGCTAGACGGGTGTATGTAGTGAGTTCCAAGCCAGCCAGGGTTAAATAGTGAGACTTAGCAAACAAACAAATAAACAAACAACAGCAAAATTAGACAGTTTAAATATTCCTCAGCAGGAGAGTAGCTAAGTGGCAGATTCATACAGTGGAATACCACCTTTAAAAAAAGAAAAACTAATGGGATTCACTGCTGAATGCATGGATCCCAAAACATTAAGTTAAAAGAAGCGTTAGACAGAAGAATTTGCATCATCTGTCTGTATAATTTCATTTTCACAGTTTTAGAATAAGCTAAAGTCGCGTGTGCGTGTGCGTGTGCGTGTACTGACTGGGAAGGGCTCATGGGGACCCCGTTCTATGGTGACAATCACACTCTGTCCTGTACACCTCTCTTCCCACTGCTCCCCTCTCCCCTCTTCTTTCTCCGCCTGTTCCCTTTATCCTTCCTATCCCTTCCCCATGGAGTCTCATTATGTAGCCCAGGCTGCCCTTGAACCCACAGTCCTCAGACTCCTGGGTCCTGGGATTTACAGACACAAACACTTACATCTGGATATTGATAGAAGTTTGCATTACACAGAGATACGCACTTATAAAAGGTCATTAAGTGGCACTTAAAATATAGACAATTTTAATTTTTAGACAATTGCCTAAAACAGACAAACCTTACCTTCAAATCTTATAAAAATATACAATTTAGTAATGTTTGTGATAACATGTCATAGGGGTGAAATATACTGATACCTTTTTTGGAAATGTATCTGAATTAATGGATGATGGACAGGGATGTGATGAGAATCCAGCTGTCGGTTACTGAATGCTCACTACGGTCGCTGCCCTCTTTCCTTTTCTTCTTCCTTTTCTCCTTATCACCCTTCCGTTCTTTTATAAACTACTTATTTTTAAGCATGTGCATGTGTAATCTTTCCTTCTCTTCCTTCCTCCTGGCTTCCCACCTGTCTCTTTCAGAGAGGCCGTAGAGTCTGCACAAATTCAAATGTTGATCATTGGGGCTTGGTTTGACCTTTTTCAACTGAGTGGTTTCGGTAAAAAACAAATGATGAATAGTATAGCTTGGATTAAAAGAACTTTGCTTCGTTCTCAAGCAGCGATTAGCAAAATTGTGTAAGTTTTTAAATAAGATCTCACGATGTAGCTGTGCCTGGTCTAGATCTTGATCTGTAGACCAGGCTGGCCTTAAACTCACTAAGATACGCAGGCCACTGCCCCTAAGTGCTGGAATTAAAGGTGTGCACCATCATGCCCTGCTCTCCACCCCGTGACCCACTTTTTCTCATCGCTCTTAGTATAAGTGCGTCTGGAAGAAAGTTCTCCTAGTGCTGCTGCCTAGATAATTCCTTTCATTCTCCTTACAGCGCCATTAGGGGGAGCAGGAGGAAGTGTGTTCTGCTCTGAAAGAGGAATTCTGTCCCGGACCTTTACAGGACTGTCCTCATTAGATTCCGAACACTCAAACCTGTGGGAATGTGTCCTGTGTAGCTAATACCCATAAACCCTTTCTTTTTTAGATATACAACCAAACACGGAGCTGAAAAGCACCGAGGAGCAGCCTCTGCCCACAGGTAATGCTGGTCTTTGCTGATGACGGACGCTTTTAACCAAAAGCACTCAAGAAAGAAGCATGTTCTTGTTCTTGTTATAGTAAAATTGCAATGGGAAAATTAACACAGCTCCTTTGCTTCCTCCTTAAACACCTTAAAGATACATCATAAAAATGCAACGGGGTGGGGGATAGCTCTGTGAGTAAAGAAGTCCTGAATTTGGACCCCCAACACTGTATAAAGCCATCTGTGGCCTCATGTACCTGTAACCCCAGCACTGAGGGACAGGGATAGGTGGATCCCAGCAAGCTCTAGGTCCAAGTAAAGAACAATAAAGGAAGACATCCAAACTGATCTCTGACCTCCACACACTTAGACACACCCGTGTAAGTTCACACATACACACACTTCAATACCACATAGTCAAACTACATTCCAGCTAATGTTGATCATTAGATTTCTGTTAACTTCATTGACTTTTCTCAACTGATTGTTTTTGATAGATAATAGCTTGATTTTTGATTCTTACACTTCACTTTATTTTATCATCATCATCATCATCATCATTTTGTTTTTTTTTCAACACAAGGTTTCTCTGTGTAACAATACTGGCTGTCCTGGAACTTGATTTGTAGACCAGGCTGCCCTTGAACTCACAGAGATCTGCCTTCCTCTGTCTCCTGAGCGCTGGGATTTAAAGCATGTGCTATCACTACTTGGCTAAGCTTCACCTTTGATCAGTGGTCAGCAACCATTTCTGGAAAAGGGTCAGAAATTCATTATATAATCTCTTTTCTGGGTCCTTTGCTGTAGTACTTATTTTAATAACCTTTGAAAAAGTTGCTGGGCAGTGGTGGCACACGCCTTTAATCCCAGCACTTGGGAGGCAGAGGCAGGCAGATTTCTGAGTTCGAGGCCAGCCTGATCTACAGTGTGAGTTCCAGGATAGCCAGGACTACACAGAGAAACCCTGTCTCGAAAAACCAAAAGAGAGAGAGAGAGAGAGAGAGAGAGAGAGAGAGAGAGAGAGAGAGAGAGAGAGAAGAAAATGTTGAATCCATCCTTCCCTCTGGACCTATACAGAGCAGGTGTGATCACGGGTGGCCTTGGACCATGGGTTGCTGCTACCTGCTCAAGGATTAAGCAGGAGGATCTTGACTGAATTCAGGCCAGCACAGACTATATAGTGAGTTTGAAGCTAGCCTGGGCGACATAGGGAGATCCTGCTTTTAAAGTACGAAGAAATGAACGAATGACTGAACGACCCTGGGTTCCATGGTGGCTTTTACGTAGAATCACACTTATGATATAAACGCAAGAGAAAATATATTTGGCATACAGAGGTTTCTAGGTTTCCTTTTAAGAAAGCATTTCTTCCAAACTGGTTATATCAGTTATGTTCAGGCTCAGTATCTCTTAGTCCTATACATTAATATTTGTTGGGAACACACAGCAGTAGTATTCTCCTGGATATTGTGAGATGTAGCAGTGAAGACAGAATTCCTGTCCAGTGGTTCTCAGCCTGTGGGTCTCGAGCCCTTTGGGGTTGAACGACGTTTCACAGGGGTCTTATGTCCTACAGATTAGATATTTACACCCTGGCTCACAACAGTAGCAAAATTATAGCTATGAAGTAGTAATGGAATGATTTTATGGGGGGGGTCACCACAACATGATGAACTGTATTAAAGGGTCGTGGCATCAGGGATGTTGAGAGCCACTGCTGTAGACAGAGTCTGACTTCATTATAATAACATAGGCAAAAGAACTATTCACAAGGATGCAGGTTGGCAGAGGGATGCACCAGCCTCACTCACAGTTCTAGACTTTGAAAGTTTCCCCGTCTGCTCCTGCTGGGGTGAGTGAGGCGGGCGCTGCTTGTCAGAGCTGGATGCTGAGGCTGGGCGCTAGAGGAGGAACACTGGCTATCACTGTTGGCGACCGTGAAGTCAAACTCAATGCATGGTTTTACAAATCTCTTCAAGCTGACTGCATCCTTAAAACCTCCTTTGTCTTTTAGAAAGCCCAGAAGTTCTGAATGACTACAGTTTACCCAAGCCTCATGAGATAGAAAATGTGGACAGCACAGAGGCCCCAGCCAATGAAGATGAAGATACAGGAGGTAAACCACGCTGTACAATTACAACCTCATGGTGACAGATACAGTTGCGGTTGATGTGAAATCAACTCAGATTCATTCGTTTCATATATATTTGCATTTAATTGTTTGTTACATGAGAACACGGATATTGGGGTGGGGGGAGATGGCTCAGCAGTGACGCACTCCTGCTGTTCTGCCAGAGGGTCCTAGGTTGGTTCCCACTGCCCATGTCAGGTGGCTTGCTGTAACCGGTGACACCAGGTGACCTTATGGTGTCTGTGGGTACTTGTGCTTGCTCAGCATATACATACAGTTACACACATATGCATTACACCAATGTTTTGAGAATTTAAGATACCTATTCATTGTTCTTTTTTTCTGTTGTTGTTGTTTTTCGAGACAGGGCTTCTCTGTGTAGCCCTGGCTGTCCTGGAACTCACTCTGTAGACCAGGCTGGCCTCGAACTCAGAAATCCGCCTGTCTCTGCCTCCCAAGTGCTGCGATTAAAGGCGTGCACCACCACCGCCCGGCCATTGTTCATAGTATACTAACTTTACTGTTTGTTGGGCAGACTTGGTGGTACATGTGTATGGTCACAGCTCCTGTGGAGCTGAGGTCGGAGGAGCCTGACTTAAGGCTATGTAGCCAAAGCAATGTATTGAGACCCTGCCTCAAGCAAAGCAAAATGAAATGTTCATTTTTTATCATTTTTCTTTCTTTTTTAAAACCATTTTTCATGATAAAAATAACACATATCTGTAGCTTGAGGTATTTTCCAACAGCCAGTTCTCCAAACGTAACTGATTGGCCAACAATTCAATTATTTTTAAATTTTTTATTTATTATTATTGGGGGTAAAGGTGTCTACGAAGGTCAGGAGACACTTAGTGGGAGTCAGTTCACTCACGATCAAATTCAGGGTGTCAGCCTCACGTTCATATTTCGTGTATTCTTGATGCTCTGGCATTAGGGGTCTTACAGACCCGGGGGGGAGACCGCCCTTCTCGGAGCTATGAAATTCTGAGAGATTGTAATGCTCTTGACTGGGAGTTTGTTTTTGTTTTATGGATTGTGTGTGTGTGTGTCTGTGTGTCTGTGTGTGTGCATGAGAGCGTGTGTGTGTATGTGTCTGTGTGTGTTCAAACTAACTACTCCTGAGTCTACACCAACAATTCCATTCTTATTTCCAGTTCCTACACCAAGTCTTAAATCAACCTAAGGCCTCTTCCTGGACAACTGGAAACCAATCCTTTGGCCCCAAACCCAACAAGGGTATTCCAACTAACCTCCCCTAAACATCTCTCTCCGCCTTGCCTTAATCACAGAAACTCTAGTAAAGAGTTCACACTCTGTCTTAACACCAATGGTGCATTCTTCATGACACCGTAATAAAGGAAGCTATCTTCTTCCTTCCAGTCCTCATTTTCATTTTCTCTGTGCATTCTCATGGGCATGCTTAACGCTGGCATTTACTGTGTCCTGGCAATGGGCATATTCAGCGGGTGGATATCCTGTCAATCATAAAGCCAGCTCTACAATGGCTCGTATGTGAGGTATGGCTGCTGGTTTATCTGGAATGATCCCCTTGGCGTTTATGAGAGGAGTTAGGTAGGTGACTGCAAGTTAAACAGGGATTATGGTGACACATCTCCCATCTTCCAGCATGGTAGTTCCCTCAGGAATAATCTGTGACTGGGAATCCAGCATCAGCCTGTTCATACCTGACTACTGGCAGCAGGAAGATTCAGTGCTAGACGGCTTTGCTCAGGGTAGAGTGTGTACGTATCACATACAGGGTCCTGGATTCCATTCCCAGCTAGATAGAAAAAGAAAAAGAGTTAAAATACCACTCCTGAGTAAGTTCACGATCCATTCTAGTAAGGGTTCTTCAGAAGGTTGACAACACGGGGTTACAAAATAATGTCACTCCGCCCACATTTCTTGGGCTCCGCTGAAGTCGCTCCGCTGGCTTCATTTCTTGGTCCCCCCCTTCCTGGACCCTTTTCTTGGTACCCCAAGTGTGTGTGTGCATGTATGCATGTGTGTGGGAGAACTATGCAGAAGCACATGGGTGAATGTAGGTTAGCCGTTAATATTGAGCGTCTTCACTGACTGGTCTCTATATGTTGAGGCAGGCTCTCCCACTGAACCCAGAGCCTGCTGATTTGCTAGTCTCGCTAGTCAGTTTGCTGGGGAGATCCCCTGTCTCTGCCCCCCCTGACGTGGGGGATACAGTTGGGCTACCACACCTGCCTAGCATTTACATGGCTGCTGGAGATTTGAACTCAGATCCACTGCTTGTGTAGGAGGTGCTTTAGCCACTGATATATCTTCCTAGTCCTTGTCCAGATATAGGTGGCATCTTGTTCCAGTGAATTTTTTTTCCCTTTGAAGACACAGCTTGGGATCTAATATCCAAAGCTCAGGTCAGATGCAGTCTAAGCTTGGTCTGGGTTCGAGACCTGATTCAATACTCTCTTTGCCTGTAATTTAACTATTACAATAGCATCCAAAGGGTTAAACATCTTACTCCTTGTCTTCTTAGTTGCATTTCCTTGGACACCCCAGTGCCTTGGGAGTTGGCTATTGGTAAATTTTTCCTGATCAGGACACCACCACTGTGGCTCCATACCCTGAGTAACAATATGGCCACCTAGGAATCTCTTCCTTTTCTTTTCTTTTCCCAAGGCACAGGCCTCTGTGAGCCACAGGTGAGCTGTCAAGTCCTGCTTCTGATACCAGTTCTGAGGGGTTTTCCACACTGACAACCAAAGACAGCAGTTTAGTTGTTGAGTGTCTGTTTAGTTCTGGAGTTAATTTCCAGGGTTCAGATGGACTCCATGGTTTAATGCTTCCATCTTGTAAGGGAGCCCTTGCTTCAGACTTCAGCCACAGTACAGAGGCCTGTGCAGCTTGGACAAATGCAGACATCGCCTTACTTACTGTTAATGGTTTATTGTAAATCATTTGACTCAGAAGCAGTCAAGCGGAAGAGAGCACAGGACAGAGAGGAAGCAGGTGGAGCCCTTATGCTTCTCCAGGGGTGCTCCCCTCCCTCCCAGCACCTCTGAGAGGCCCCAGCCCGGAAGCTGAGAGCCCATTGTCCAAGACTTTATTTGGATCTCCAGCCCTTCATGGCCTTTCCCAGGGATCAGTGGGTGAGGCTGAACGTTCTCATTGGTTTCTCTGTCCTCTGCAGTCCCTTGGGGTCCCAACCTAAGACATCTCATTAGCATAAACTCATGAATATTGAAAAGGTTTTGTTGTGAATCTCAATATTTCGTTATCACTAAGAAAATACAAGAGTTTTAGGAGTTGTGTGCCTAGAAGAAAGAACAGAGACAAAGACCAAATACATCTTGGCAATGTACTGTAGTCTGTAAAGTTCGTAGAAGTGGAAAGCAAGAAGAAAAAATTTCAAAACAACAGCAACAACAACAACAAATAATAACCAAAGGCAAGGAGGAAAAAAATCTGTTTTCCACTATTCAAACATTCTCAACTGCACTTTGGGGCTTTTGTTTGCCTATGCATTGGTTTTCAGCACGGTGTTCTTGTTTGCTATGCTCTCATATCATGCTGATAATTATGATGACAAAACTTATCTACTGTTGCCTTTCAAATGTCACTGGGATCTCATCTAAAATATCACTTCTTTAGAGAAGGTTTCCTTGACAACCTGGTCAACACTTTAACTGCGCTTTATTCTGCAGTGCTAGCCCATCACAGATAACTCTCCGCCTGGTCCGTTAACTGCCATTCTCCTTCCATTCTTTCTTGACTGGCATCTAGGACATCTTTTTCACTAGTAGGTACCTCACTCATAGTAGATATGCAATAAATGTTTGTTGTATGACTAAAAGAAAGTCCTGGATTAATTACATGCGCATCTACATATTTCTCTGAAGAAAAATGTTTTCCTCTCAGACTCTTTCTTTTGCCCAATCACTCATGACCAAGAAATTGAGTTCCTTGTCTAAAATTTCTGAGATTCAAATCACAGCTTTAGCTTGTATTCCTGATCTGCCGAGCTATACATTAATTTGTGCCAGTTTTTAACCACAGAGTCAGCAAATACTGCTGCTCAGGATGTGGTCGTATTTGCTGAGGAAAGGCACATCATGTCTCTGATTCGGCAGCTTCTCGATGGGGACATCCATCGGGTTACATTCAGGATGAGGCAAAGCAGTAGTAGCTGTGCCCACACTTTTCTAGGTTGGGGCTTCTGAGTTCTGGTAGTCACCACTGTAAGCTTGTGTTTGGGATAACAGCAACCTCTACACAATGGTTGGACTGAGAACTGAAAATCCATGTTAGGATGTCATGGGGTTCAGAATAACCCCAGGGTTAGCACTCCAACATAGACATGAAAACAGACAATGTCCATGCAACAATAAGAATTTAAAATATGGTAGTACACGCCTGTAATCCCAGTACTCATAAGGCAGAGGCAGGAGGATCTCTGTGAGATTGAAGCTAGCGTGGGCTAATAGAGAATTCCAGGCTAGCCTTGGATATATATATAGGGAGTTTGTCTCAAAACATTAAAAAAAAATAACTGACCCAAATGCTATAAACGCTCAACTTTCCAAGTTAGTGGTGCCAGGAAATGTCACGCAGTTCTTGGTAGCGATTCGGGGACGTGTTCTGTTACTCTAAGCAACTTGGGAGTCAGGAAGAAACCGGGTAACATGCTCCTTTAAAATTGTCTTAGAAAGAAATTAATAGAACAATGCTAGTGTTGAAAGATTATTCTAAGTTCATGATTAGCTTTCAAACTGACTCAGACACTATAAACGTCAAAAGTGTGAGTAATTTGTCTTTGAGAAAGGCAGTTAGCAGGGCACACTGGTTTAAAAATGAAGGCCATCAGCACGTTCAGATCATACATGCCACAAGATAAGAATTCTAAAACTGAAGAGGAATGTTAGCTGGGCATAGGCCTGTAACCCAGGATTTAGGAGGTGTAGGCAGGAGGGCCAAGGCTGGCCTGGACCACGTAATACTTCATCTCAAACTCA